GGGTGGGGGGACGGCTGTCACCCAGAGCCTGCCTGCCCTTCCCCAGGGACAAGAGTTGGCCGAGACGCCTGGCAGGAAGAGTGAGGCCTGTGTGGTAGCCACAGACCACCCGCTCCCCCCACCCCTCGTGAGCACTGTGCCTCCTTGTATGCCCCCGGGGCTGGGGAGGCCCCGGCCCACACATCTGCCTGCAGTGCATACAACAGGGCTGTGTTCCCACCGCCTGGATGAAACGAACCCTATTCTTCGTGCACCGGGGCGGGCGGCACGGGGAGAGCGGTCCCCAGAGCCAGCCTCGGGTGCCCGTCTCCCGGCCCAGCACGCAGGCGCCCCACTCTGTGCCAGTTCCCTGGGACCCCTGTGTGCCAGCATGTTTAGGCACAGCAGTGGGCAGGGGGCAAAGCTCCGTCATCCAGACGCTGACACCGCGCTGGGGGAGACTGCACGTACACACACGTACAGCATGTCGCATGTCTGTGACGGTGGGCGCCCTGGGGAACTGAATGGAGGAGGCCCTTGGCAGGATGCCTCTCGGGGATGGGGACGTGGGCGGTGCATCTTCAGGGGCCCAGCGTCCGGTTGGAGACATTCAGTTCACACTGAGTCAGCGATGAAGGGACTGGCCAGGGAAGATGAAGATGGATGTGTGGTGCCCCTCATCCCCTCACAGACGCCCCCCACCCATTTTTCAGGGGTACTGTCTGCTTCTGCTCCTGGCAGCGGGAGCAGGAGGCGAGGAGGCCTCCGGAGGGAGAGGAGTTGGTTCTCAGCCCTGCTGGGGTCTCCTCCAGGGTTGGGACGAGGAAGCACTGTGTGACCAGGGTCACACCTTTGTGTCTGCACCCCTCAGGCTGGTCTGGGTGGAACTGCAGCTGCGGGCCCTCCTCTCACCTGGAATCTTCCTGACCAGGTGGCCGTCGTAGGGAGAGCCAGCTCAGGTGTCAGGGGAACGCAGCTTCCGTGTTCCAGCTGCTGTGGCATTGACTCCAATTCATGGCAGCCCTGTGTGTGTCAGAGTAGAACTGTGCTCCATGGAGTGGTGAAAATATACACACCAAAACATTTGCCAGTACAGCTTCCACATTTACAGTTCAGTGACGCTGACTGCATTTTTCGTGTTGTGCCACCATTATCCCTCTCCTGTTGCAAAATAGTCTACCACCGTTAACATCAATTCCGTGTCCCCCAAACAAAAACTCCCCTCCCCCTCCATTCCACCTCTGGTAACCATTAATAATCTTTGGCTTCTGTATATTTGCTTATTTCATGTAAGTGAGATCATACGGCTTTTGTCGTTTTGAGACTGACTTACGTCACTAAGCCTCGTGCTTTCAAGGTGCATCCATGTCCTGACATGTATCAAAACTTCATTTCTCTTTATGGCCGAGTAATATTCCATTGTATGTGTGTGCTGCATTTTACTTATCCATTTGTCTGCTGATGAACATTTCGGTGGTTTCCACCTTTTGGCTCTTATGAGAAGTACCGCACTGAACACTGGTGTCCAGGTTTCTGTTGGTGTTCCTGCCTTCACTTCTTCTGGGTACAGACCTAGCATTGAGTCAGACGGTAGTTCTGTGTTCAAAGTTTTGAGGAACCGCCAAACTGTTTTCAACAGTGGCTGTACCATTTTACGTTCCACCAGCAATATGAGGGTTCCAGTTTCTCCACAACCTTGCCAACACTTGTTTGCTATTTTTTTGATCACTGCGTTGTAATAATGGTGAGGTGGTATCTCATTGTGGTTTTGATTTGCACTTGAAGTGACTCTTCCTTCCCCATTAAATGGACTTAACACCCTTGTTGAAAATTAGCTGACCATCGATGTATGAATTTATTTATGGACTTTGAATTCTATTTCATTGGTCTCTATATGTCTATTATACCAAAACCAGGCTGTTTAAATTACTGTAGCTTGTAGTATATTTTGAAATCAGGAAGTGTGAGTCCTCCTACTTTATTCTTCTTAAGGATTGCTTTAGCTATCTGGGGTCCCTTGCTCTTCCATATAAATTTGAGGATTGGCTTTTCCATTTCTGCAAAGAAGACTGTTGGGATTTTGGTGGGAATTGCATTAAATCTATAGGTTGCTTTGGGTAGTGTTATAGATTTCGTGTTCCCCCAAAATGTGTATTATAAATCCTAACCTCTGTGCCTGTGGTTATAATCCCATTTGGGAATGGGTTGTCTTGTTATGTTAATAAGACAAGATTAGTATAGGGTATGTCTTAAATCAATCTCTTTTGAGATATAAGAGAGATTAAACGAGAGAGAAGCAGAGATGGGAGAAGAGAGATGCCAAGCCACATGAAGATCACCCAGGAGCAGAAGCTCAAAAAGACAAGGACCTTCCCCCAGAACCGACAGAGAGAAAAGCCTTCCCCTAGAGTCGGCACCCTGAAATTAGACTTCTAGCCTCCTAAACTGTGAGAAAATAAATTTCTGTTTGTTAAAGCTATCCACTTGTGGTATTTCTGTTACAGCAGCACTAGATGACTAAGACAGGTAGTGTTGACATCTTAACTGCATTAAGCCTTCCAGTCCATGAACCCAGACTGTCTCTTAATTTATTTAGGTTTTATTTAATTTCTTTTAGTAATGTTTTATACTTTTTGTGTCTTTCACTTCCTTGGTTAAATTTATTCCAAGGTATTTTATTCTTTTAAATGCTATTGTAAATGGAATTATTTCCTTAGTTTCTTTTTCAGATTGCTCACAGCTGATTTTTGTGTGTTGACCTCATATCCTGCCACTTTGCTGAATTCATTTATTAGTTCTAATAGCTTTCTTGTGGAATCTTTGGGGCTTCCTATGTATAGGATCATGTCACCTGCATAAGGGATAGATTTATTCCTCCTTCCCTATTTGGATACCTTTTTTTTTTTTTCTGGCCTAATTGCTCTGGCTGGGACTTCTAGGACGATGTGGAATAGCAGCGGGGAGAGCGGGCATCCCTGTCTTGTTTCTGACCTGAAAGAGAGCCTTCTCAGTCTTTCTCCTTTGAGTCTGACGTTAGCTGTGGGCTTTTCATAAATGCCCTTTGTTGGATTGAGGAACGTCCTTCTATTCCTGTCTTACTGAATGTTTTTTTTTTATTTTATTTTCATAAAAGGATGTTGAATTTTGTCAGATGCCATTTCAGCATTGAGATGATCATGCGGTTCTTTTTCCTTATTCTCTTACTGTGCTGTATTACACTGATCAGTTTCTGATGTTCAACCACCCTCGCATTTCTGGAATAAACCCCACTTGATCATGGTGCTCCGTAGGGTTTTCAGTGGTTGAGTTTTCTGAGGTAGATTACCAGGCTTTCTGAGGTGCCTCTGGGTGGACTTGAACCTCCAGCCTTTGGTTAGGAGCCATGTGCGGTGACCATTTGCACCCCCCAGGGACTCCAGGACGGGGCATTTCTGGTCTGTGAGCATCAGCTGTGTGCCTGGCATTTTTAGCTCTCGCTGTAGGGACTAGAGCTGGGTGACTGTATACCCCCACCCCTGCAATGCCATGCCCGCCCTCCTCTCCCCAGCCCTGTGCAGAGGACGTGCCTGGGCAGCTGGTTATTGCTGAGGACACAGGTCTTGGAGTTAGACGGACCTGGCTTTGCCACTTACTAGCTATACAGGTGAGATCCCTGACCTCTGTGCCTCAGTTTCCTCATCAAGAAAATGGGATCGTAACCACATGGAAGAATTGCTGCTGGGAGGCGTGTTGCCTGTTCCCAGCACATGATAGGCTCTTGGTAAATGGTAGTTGTTGGTCGTCCTCATCCCATCGTGATTATGGATGGAGTTCTAATGCAGGGGCGGTCAGAGCCCAGACCCAGAAAGGAATTCAGCCTGGGAGGCCATGCTGGTCTGTGGAGGCCAGAGGCTGGAGGCCTGGCAGATGTGAGAACGGCCAGGGGAGCCTCTGGGGTCAGCTTGTGGAGCCTTTGAAATAAGAGAGGCCAGAGCCATTGTCTTGCTTCTCTCAGGACTTGAGGTGGTGAGCCCAGCCCCTGCTCCCTCTGCCTGCAGCCAGAGGCCCTTGAGGGAGGTGGCGACATCCCGGGCGGGTTTGGAGCTGGAGCTGGTGGCCTGGAAGGCCAGCTCCTGGACAGGGTGGTCTGGAAGGCCAGCTCCTGGACAGGGCTGTGGGCAAGAGGCTGCACATCTCAGTGAGCCAAGGCCACAATGGGCGCTGTGTGCAGGAGGTCAGCCTGGCCCATGCTGGGTGGGAGGGGGCAGGGGCCCCCACGGGCCTAGGTCTGTGAGGCTGATCTTAGGGGACCGGGAGGGGCACTGAGGCCCGCATCAGAGAGCCAAACCGGGCAGGTTGCAGGCCAGAGGATATATTCTAGAACCACCACCCAACCCCCCAAAAAACCCATCGCCGTTAAGTCAATTCTGACTCACAGCGATCCTATGGGACAGAGCAGAACTGCCCCACAGGGTTTCCTAGGAGAGGCTGGTGGATTCCAACTGCCGACCTTTTGGTCTTAACCACTGCGCCACCAGGGCACCAGGAACCACCGCCCAGGTTGTCCTGATTTCCCAGACCCTCACGAGCGCTCGGTGGCTTTGTGGCATGGGGTATCTGCAGCAGTAGTTCCAGCTGCACATATTGAGGAGAAGAAAGTTCTTCAGAGGCTTGCTTTGGTTAAAAAACAGTTGCCATCAAGTCGACTCCAACTCATGGCGACCCCATGTGTGTCAGAGTAGCACTGTGCTCCATAGGGTTTTCAGTGGCTGATGTTTTGGCAGTAGATCACCAGGCCTTTCTTCCGAGGTGCCTCTCAAACCGCCAACCTTTCAGTCAGCAGCCGAGCGCGGTAGCTGTTTGCACTACCCTGGGACTCCTGGCAGTGCTTAGGCTGAGACAATCCCTTTCCCCTCATCTCTACACTTGTCTTCCTGGTAGGAAGTGTCCTGTCTGCGTGTTGGCCTTTCCCCCTGGGGGTATCTCCTGGGGGAGGCTGCCTGGGTGGGTCTCTGACCTCAGCCTCCTTTATCCCCTCACAGGCCATCAGCATCAGCAAAGCCATCAATAACCAGGAGGCCCCTGTGAAGGAGAAGCATGCCCGGCGTATCCTTCCCTACCGTCCCGGGGGAGGCGGGAGCGCAGGCAGGAGAGGAGCTGGGCCAGAGCAAAGAGTCAGCCAGGCCTTGGGGCACAGTGGCCCTGTGGGTAGCTGCCAGGGCTGGCCGCCTTGTGGGTTTGTGAGACCCTCCCCTTCTCTGAGGCTGGGGCCAGGGACAGATGTCCTCCTTCCGTGAGCTTCACTTTGCTGAACTCGCCGCCTCTCAGGGAGTACCAGTTAAACTCACGACCTTGGGCCCAGTTAAGCTCACGACCTTGCCCTGTTTCTGGTCCTGAGCCCCACACGCCCTGGTGGAGATCGCAGTCTCTGGAGGGGGCAGACCAGGAGGTGAGCCTTGAGGAGCCATGCTCAGTACAGGGTTCCCCTACGTGTGCCTCTGCCCCGTGCCCTCAGCCGGTCTGCCGAGCGCCCCCCTGCCTACACTCACACGAGTCTGCTCCTGCTCTGTGGACCTTGACCCTGCAGGCATCATCCTGGGCACGCACCATGAGAAGGGGGCCTTCACCTTCTGGTCCTATGCCATCGGCCTGCCACTTTCCAGCAACTCCATCCTCAGCTGGAAGTTCTGCCACGTGCTGCACAAGGTCCTTCGAGATGGGCACCCCAACGTGAGTGGATGGGGCGCCCGGGGCAGAGCAGCACCCCTGGAGTGGAGATGTTCTGTCCCCCTGGATCCATGTCCCAGAGCCCTGCCTGCTGCCCTCCCACATCCCCCTCGTGCCTCCTGCCAGCTGGTGTGGGGTCAGGGTTCTTGACCCCTGTCCTTCTCCCCCCACCCATGCTGCAGGTTCTGCATGACTGCCAGCGGTACCGGAGCAACATCCGGGAGATTGGGGATCTGTGGGTAAGTGCTGGGAGTGGGCGCTGGGGCCTCGGCTGTCGGAGAACGCTCGGAGAGCAGAGGACGCTTGAGCTTTCAGCCTCCCGAAGAGCCCCGGGGATGGGTCTTCTTCCTCTCGGGGCAGAAGTTAGCGTGATGTGATTTGGGGCGAAAGTGGGGGTGGGGGGACAAGCCTCAGCAAATGTGAATCGCAGTGTTGCGTGAAGGCCTGGCACTGGACTTCCAAACGCAGCAGCACTGGGCCTCGGGCGCCGGAAGTCTCCTGGGTCCCGTGGTCGTCGCCTCCCACGCCGCTGCTGCAGACTCGCTCATGATTAGACATTGGTGTTTTCAGCAAGCTTCTGGGTGGTTCCTACACACAGTGGAGTTTGCGAGTCCTGGGAAACCTGTAGTCTAGATCCCTCCAGAATGTTTAGGACTTATTGGGAGGGAGAAGGACCTCCCTGGGTGGGAGCATTGTTTCCTCTCGCAGAGCACTGCTGTGGGTGGGACAGTGACCCAGCAGGCTGTGTGCAGTGGAGGGCCGGAGGCTGGGCCGGGGCGCTGAGCACCAAGACAAACTGCCCTGGAAGTAAGAACAGCGTTCACAGCGCCCCTTGCAGCCGCGAGTCCCTGCACGGTGGCAGAGGATGTGGTGTTTGGAGGAGACAGGTGAGGTGTCAGAGAAGGCAGCTGGGAGGATGTGGCATGCCGTCGGAACGCGCCTCCCATCTGCCCACCAGCACGGCAATAAAATGTCCCGACTCGGGTTGGCCTGCTGCCCGAGGACAGAGCTCTCTTCTCACAAGAGCTTCTTTGGCAAGAACGGCAAGGAGGGACACTGAGAAGGAATCAAAAGGAGATGGTAGAAATCAAAAGCAAGCAACAGAACTGAAGAATGTAGACTGGACACAGCCGAGGAGAGAATCGGTGAGCTGGAGCTCTGTCAGCAAGACACCCCTAAACTGAAAAGCGAAGAGAAAACGTAGGACCGAATATCCCAGAACTGTGGGACAATTAGGGGGTCCCTGGGTGGCAGAAATGGTTAAACGCTCAACTACTAGCCAAAAGGTTGGAGGTTTGAACCCACTCGGAGGCGCCTCGGAAGACAGGCCTGGTGATCTGCTTCCGAGAGGTCACAGTCTTGAAAACCCTATGGAGCAGTTCTCCTCTGCACACACAGGGTCGCCATGAGTCAGAATTGACTCAACAGCAACAGGTTTGACTTTTTGGTTTTGTGGGGCAATTATACAAGGAGTATGGCAGAAATTTTGGAATTATCAGACCAGGTGGTGCAGCGGTTAAGAGCTTGGCTGCTAACCAAAAGGCCGGCAGCTTGAATCCACCAGCCACTGCTTGGAGACCTGATGGCACAGTTCTGTAGGGTCGCTGTGAGTCACAGTCAACAGCAACGGGTTTTGTTTTTGGTATGGCGAATATGCTGAGGGCTCTAGTGGAAAAAGTGGACAAGAACAGATGAGTGATGTGAGCAGAGAGACGGAATCGCTCAGGAAGAACTGAAAGGAAGTACTAGAAAAGAGAACCACTGTAAGAATGCTAGAGAGGAAGGTTAAAGAGCTGGACACGAAGGTGAGGGGGCCCTTAGGGAGGGAAGAGGGCTGGAAGCCTTCGTCGGCTTTTAGAGTGAATGAGTGAATGGACGGGTGAAGGAATGACACTCAGCTGCTCTCCTTGCATCTTCCCGCCTTGGTTTCCCTGTTTGCCCTGAAGCACTGGGGCCTCACCTGGGCTCTGTTCTCCACAGGGGCATCTGCACGACCGATACGGACATCTGGTGAATATTTACACCAAACTTCTGCTGACCAAAATCTCCTTCCACCTCAAGGTAGTCTCCTTGGGAGAGTCTGGGGCCAGGAGGGACCCCCTGCGCTCCCAGAGACCCAGGGTCTTTCCCCTGTGGCCTCGGGGACATGTTGGGACATAGCAGAGGGGTGGGATCAGTGCTGTCCACCAGGACCTCCAGGGCCTGCCCCTCACCTCATTGCCCAGTCGTGACAAAGCCCAGGATGGCGGGAGCCTCAAGGCACGCCCTGTGCTGGTGGCCCGCAGACCTCAGGGGCAGATCTCCCCGCCTGGCCCAGGCAGTTCGTCATCCCTGTATCCTGCCCTGAGGCTGCTCCAGTCCTTGTCAGCACAGGACCCCTGCCCCAGAGCAGACAGCTTCTGGGGATGTCCCAGAGCCAGGGCCAGCTCTCACGGGGGGCGGCTTAGCAGGCGGGCATTCTCTCTGCAGCACCCCCAGTTTCCTGCAGGTCTGGAGGTGACAGACGAAGTGTTGGAGAAGGCAGCGGGAACCGATGTCAACAACATGTGAGTTCTGTGGGCAGGAGGGACCCGAGCTGAGTTCATTGCCCAGCCTTGGGCCCTGACCCTACTTCTCGGGGGCACTAGTTCCCCCTGGCCGACTGGATGGTCTAAGTTCCCTGGCATCTGCGTCCCACCTTCCTGGGTCCCCTGTTCGCTCAGGGTTTCACCCCGTTCACACCATGCAGGGCTGCCCGTGAGCGAGTGACCCACAGCTGAAAGGAGGCAGAGGGACGGGGCTTATTTGGAATTGGGCACTTTTGGTGAAGGAGGTGCTGCGCGCAGAGATGTCCCCACCCCGGCCCGCAGGGTCTGCTAATGGCTCTGCTCCCCCTTGGGGTTCTCGGGAGAGAATGGGGCGTGCCACCCTCGCCCTCACCCCTCCTTGCCTCCCTTCCTCCCTCCTCACCCAGCTTCCAGCTCACCGTGGAGATGTTTGACTACATGGACTGCGAGCTGAAGCTGTCTGAGTCAGGTGAGGCGCCCGAGTGCCCAGATCAGGGCTGTGTTAGTGACCTGCAGGCCCTGCCTGGACTGTCACCTTAACGTTCTCAAATGCTTCTGCCCCTTGGGGTGCAGGCCCCCTGCCCCTGGAATGTACAGAGCAGAGCCCCCCCCAGGATGCGAAGCCCCACCATGGGTTTGCACAGGGGGCGTCTTGGCTGTTCCATCAAGGGTACATCTCACTGTCAGCCCCAAGACATGTGGGTTGTGGGGTGTGGGTGACTGGGGAGCCCCCATCCTGGCGGCCTGGCCCCTGGGCCTCTGCCCAGCCCGTCCAGAGTGAGGCTGTTGGGCCTCCACGCCCGTGTTCTGCTGCACAAACCCTCTGAGTCATGCCGGCCTTCCTGCCGGAACCCGCAGCCCTTTGGACAGGAAACCTCCAGCCCCCCCCACCTGGGTCTGGAGAGGTGATCATTTTGGGTGGTAGCTTCAAAACAATGGGTGCGGGGGAGAAGCAAAGGCCTTTTTAAGGGAAGGTCTCCAGGAGTTAGAGAGAGGCGGAGGTGGGTCCTGGCGCCGCCACCTGCGTCTGGACTTGGGACTGGCCGAGGGGGAGGTTGCTGGGAGCCGGAAGGGGGACAGGGTGTAGCCTCGAGCTGTGTGGGGAAGTGAGAGCCCCCTGGCTGGGAGCGGGTCCCTCCACCCGGCCCGGGGGCTCCTGGCCTGTGTGGAAGTGAAGGGCAGCGCCCCCAGAAGGGAAGGTGGAGAGAACCCACCGGTGCATACCCCAGTCCTGGTGACACTGGCACCTTGGTAAGGTACAAAGAAGGGGCACACCCAGGGTTCCATGCGGCAGCATCCCTGGCAAAGCTGCGGATCTGCACGGGACGTTCCCGGCCACTCAATTTGTCCTCAGCGCCCGTTTTCTGCTGCACAAACCCTCTGAGTCATGCCGGCCTTCCTGCCGGAACCCAGCAGCTCTTTAGACAGGAAACCTCTCCCCCCGCCCCCTACCTGGGTCTGGAGAGGTGATTGTTTAAGGGAAAGGCTCCAGGAGTTAGAGGAAGGTGGAGGTGGGCCCTGGAGCCTCCCTGTCACCCTGGCCTGGACTTGGGCTAACTCCTGGAGACTTCCCCTTAAACCGTCCTAACCGTTGTCATGCAGAAATGGCTGTGTCGCACTCTGCCTGAACTAGGGAGTGGGGGAGATGTGTCCAAGTGGACTGACAGGGAAAGATCTAGGAAACATTCTGCTGAGAGAAGTGCAGCCAATGGCAGAGCTGTATATACGTGCGTGTTTAAAACCCCTCAGCGCTTTTGTTGGTGTTGCCCTTAGCTGACTCCTGGAGGCCCCGTGTGTGCAGAGTAGAACTGCGCCATAGGTTGTCAAGGCTGTGACCTTCCGTGAGCAGATTGCTGGTCTGTCTTCCCAGGTGCCTGGGGGTGGGTTTGAACTGCAGCCTGTCACCTAGTGGTCAAGTGCTTATCCGTTGGGACAGTTGAGCGTCTTCCTTTCACTCCCTCCCTCTGGGCCTTTCCTGTCTCCCGAAGGTTTGCAAATGGTCCCACTGGCAGGCCAGGTGAAGGGGTGGGGCCCGAGGGCATGGAGCTGTTCCGGCGCCTGGGTGCAGTGTGGGTCGCCCAGCCGCTCGCCTGCCCTGGCCTCTGGCCTGCTGTTTGTCATCTCTTGGCCCAGGGAAGGGGCGGCTTCGTGTTTGTCCATTTCCCTCCCACTCGGTCCATCTAGTCAAAGGCCTGACTGTCAAGGGCAGGGGAGACTGAGCCCGGGTTCATGAGGCTCTGGGTCTCGTGGGATTGCAGAGCCATCCTGACCCACCACCTAGGCCTGTCCGTGTCGTACGCGGAGGCCTGAGGTGGGCAGTCTCTAACGCTCACACTCCGCCTGGGACCCGGGGCACACTCCCCTCCTCACTCCAGCCCCTCTTCCTGGATCCAGCACCAGGGAGGTGACTGAGCTGATCTCATGTGCCCCAACCCTGCGGTCCCCTGACCCGAGATCTCAGAAGCACCAGGTCTCAGCCTGAGGGTGGGGGTGATGGCTCCATCCCAGCGGATGGGAGCACACGGGGGTTCACGAGGCCTGGTGGTGGGGTGAGAGTTGAGGGAGCCGCCACGGGCCTGCCGCTCCTTCGCTCATGGCCACCCCTGTGCCACCGTCGCTAAGGGCACCCGCCCAGGCTCACGCTCCCTTCCTCCCCGCCCGCCTTCTCTTGGCAGTTTTCCGGCAGCTCAACACGGCCATCGCGGTGTCCCAGATCTCCTCGGGCCAGTGCCGCCTGGCCCCGCTCATCCAGGTCATCCAGGACTGCAGCCCCCTCTACCACTACACGGTCAAGCTCATGTTCAAGCTGCACTCCTGTGAGGGGCCTGCCCGTCTCCGCCTGCCTGGGGACTCTCTGAGGGGAGGGGGCTGCAGGCTGTGTGCGTGGGGCTCATCAGTCCCCCAGGCCTCACGGCTGATAGTGGCTAATAACGCCTGTGTTTGTTCAGAAATTTTATACTGAGAAGTGCTGAGAAAAATTTTAAATATTTTATTAATTAAAAATAGCAATCATACAGTCATTACCTGTTAAATGACAGGTTTTGAATGAAAACTAACTATTTTCCAAACAAAAAGTAGTTTAGCGAGAAGACTGGCACTGTTTTACATGTTTGCAAATCTCTATAAACGCCTGGGTTAGGGGAATACAGCTGGCCGCGGTCACCTGCGCTCTGGTCTGGAGTGTGTCCCCGTCATGGCCACAGGTGGAGGGACAGCAAAGGGCAGACGATCTCTCCGTGGTATTTTGAAGATGGGTGTGATCTCACAGACCCCGGAAAGGGTCTCGCCCCCAGACCACACTGAGCACCACCGGCTTAGGGTGTATAAACTCTTACGTGTTAGCCCAGAGGGGGAGTGTGGCATGTAAGTGCTTTCATGGTGCCTTCCAAGGCCCGGGACAGCCTGTCGGGGATGTAGTCGCTGCTGCCTTTCTCGCCAGTGCTTCCTTCCCTTAGTTAGCTGAGAGCTGAGCTCCCGCGGCACCGTGTCTCCTCCCGAGGGGTCTGTGTCAGGGTGGGGTGGGGGTCCGGTCACGGGGTCTCTCTAGCTGATGACCGTACCTCTGCTTGTCCCCAGGTCTCCCCGCTGACACCCTGCAGGGCCACCGGGACCGGTTCCACGAGCAGTTCCACAGGTGCTGGCGGGGGACAGGGGGGGTGGACAGAGGCGCTGGGCTCCCAGGCACTGTGCAGGGGACCCTGTGATGGCCCTGCTGCTCCCTGGTGACCCCCGCTTCCCCCTACAGCCTCAGAAACTTCTTCCGTCGAGCCGCCGACATGATCTACTTCAAGCGGCTCATCCAGATACCCCGGCTGCCCGAGGTACCTATAGCCTCTCCCCAGGGCTGCCCCCTCCCCACATGCCCACCGGGCTGTAGCCTGGCTTGCTGCCCTGGTCTCTGGGGTCTTAGAGGACCCCGGGGGCGGTGGCTGAGCAGCTTCTGCCTCTGCAGGGACCTCCCAACTTCCTGCGGGCCTCGGCACTGGCGGAGCACATCAAGCCTGTGGTGGTGATCCCTGAGGAGGCCCCCGAAGATGAGGAGCCCGAGAACCTCATTGAGATCAGCACGGGGCCCCCTGCCGGGGAGCCAGCGGTGAGCAGATGCCCTGTCTCCCCACTCCAGTCCCACCCATGAGGGCCTCCAGCTCCAGCCTGGGCTGGCGGGGGCCCTGGGCCGCTCTCTGCCCCTCCTGTCCTGGCCTGGCGCGCAGGTGAATGGGCAGGTGGTCACTGTGCCTTGGTTTGGCAGGTGGCGGCCGACCTCTTTGATCAGACGTTTGGACCCCCCAATGGCTCTGTGAAGGATGACAGGTGGGGCCTGGGGCGTCAGCGGGATGGGGTTGGGGACCCCCAATGGCTCTGTGAAGGACAGATGGGGCCTGGGGTCTGTGGGGTGGGGCTGGGGTGGCTGGAAAGGCCTTCACCGAGCTGTGGTGAGGACCCTCCATCTGGTAAGGCCCAGGATGGGGATATGGACTCAGAAGGGGCCCAAGCCCGAGTGGCCACTGATCAGAGAAAGATGCATAGCTGGTCTTGAGGACCTCGGTAAGCCCTGCCTGACTTCGGCCCCCAGAGACCTGCAGATCGAGAGCTTGAAGAGAGAGGTGGAGCTGCTCCGCACCGAGCCCGAGAAGATCAAGCTGGAGGTGTGGAGAACGGGCCGGGGGCTCCAGGGGTAGACTAGGGGACTGTGCCCAGGAGGCCTCCACACCCTCGTCCTCCCCTCCCCAGGCCCAGCGGTACATTGCACAGATGAGGGGCCAGGTGAATGCGCTGGAGGCAGAGCTGGAGGAGCAGCGGAAGCAGAAGCAGAAAGCCCTGGTGGACAATGAGCAGCTCCGTGAGGAGCTGGTCCAGCTCAGGGCCGCCCTGCTGGAGGGCGAGCGGAACCAGGGGCTGCGGGAGGAGGCCGAGAGTGCGTGCAGCCCGGGGAGGGGCGGGTGTCCGGGGCAAGTGTGTGTCCCTGGCATGCAGCCCAGGCTCCTGGGGTGCCCTCTGCCAGCATGCACCCACTGCCCCTGGGAGTCACAGGCCTCTGCTCTCCCCACAGAGAAGGCGAGCGCCACGGAGGCACGCTACAACAAGCTGAAGGAGAAGCACAGTGAGCTGGTCAGCATCCATGCGGAGCTGCTCCGGAAGGTAGGGCGGCCCGCCCTGGTGACTGGTCAACCAGCAGGGGAGGGGGGTCTGAGGCACGGCTGTGGCAGCCCTGGAGCTGGCTGCAGGCGGGTGAGCCTGTCCCCAACCTGTGCCCAGAATGCAGACACGGCCAAGCAGCTGACGGTGACGCAGCAGAGCCAGGAGGAAGTGGCGCGGGTGAAGGAGCAGCTGGCCTTCCAGATGGAGCAGGCTCGACGGGAGTCGGAGATCAAGGTGCGTGGTGGACACAGACCCCGGCCCCCACCCCAACCCCGCCTCCGTGCCCCCGCCCCCCCACCGCCCAGTCCCCGTGCCTCCGCCCCACTGACACTCTGTCATGTCCCAGCTGGAGGAGCAGAGCGACCAGCTGGAGAAGCTGACGAGGGAGCTGGAGGCCAAGGCCACGGAGCTGGCCCGCGCGCAGGAGGCCCTGAGCCGCACAGAGCAGGTGGGAGGCGGGTGGGACAAGTTAGCGTCCTCTTCCTGGGAGCCGGCCCCTGCCCAGTGCCGCTTGGCTTGGGACCCCTCCTCTGGCCCTCAGCTGATCCTCAGGCACAGCTCTGTATGGGGGGATAGAGTGGAAACAGGGCCCAGCCTGGCCCTCAGGGAGCTCTCAAATGGGGATGTGGTAATGAGGGTGAGGACCTAGGAACTAACCAGGGGGCTGAGGGCGGGCTCTGGAGGCCCCACTCATGCCCCGTGTCCACAGAGTGGGTCGGAGCTGAGCGTGCAGCTGACCACGCTGAGTGCCGAGAAGGACGCGCTGAGCAGTGCCGTGCGGCAGCGGGAGGCTGACCTGCTAGCTGCGCAGGACCTGGTGCGTGAGAAGGAGGCGGCCTTGAGCCAGGAGCAACAGCGCGGCGCCTGTGAGAGGGGCGAGCTGCAGGGGCGGCTGGCCGAGAAGGTAGCGGGACTCTCGTTTTCCTCTAACGGCTGTATTGCGACGTGAGGCGCACAGTAGGCAGTTCACTCCCTGAAAGTCTGCAGTCGGCTCTGGTGTGTTCACAGGGTTGTGCAGCCACCTCCAGTCAGTTCTAGAACATTTTTGTCACCCCCAAAGTAACTATCACTGCACCAAACCGCACCCCCTGGCAACCCCTTAGCTGCTGTCTCTGTGGATGTGTCTGTCGGGCGTTTCACATTAAGTGCGGACAGACAGAACGTGGCCTTGCGTGACTGGTTTCCTCCACGATGTTGTGTCAGAACTTTGCTCCTTTTTATGGCGGAGTCATTCTCCACTGTCTGCACAGACCACGTTTAATCCATCTCTTGACGGGTATTTGGGTTGCTTCCACTTTTTAGCTGTTGGGGATAGTGCTGCCGTGGACATTCATGGCCAAGGACGTGAGTCCCTGTTTTCAATTCTTTGGGTGTAGACCTAGCAGTGGAATTGCTGGGTCATGTGGTAATTTAACTTTTTGAGGAACTGCCATACTGTTTTCCACAGCGGCTGCAGCATTTTATATTCCCACCAGCAATGGATAAGTTTTGATCCATATGGTGATTCTGTAACTGAATTTGTTGCTAATTTAAATGTGAGTGCCTTCACTGCTAGCTGCGTTGCTTGCTAGAACTAAATCTAGCCCCTTCTAAATTCTGGCCACTAGGGGGCAGTGACTGCTCAGTTCTGTCTCTCCCGTGACACTTGGCCCCTGTTTGGGGGCTTGGTCAAATCACTAAATGGCCTGTGTGGGATCTGAGCTTTCTTTGCTTGTACTTAACCCTTCCTGAGACACCCAAGAAACCCTGCGTGGGCCAGAGGGCACACACCTGCAGCTGTAGCAGGCCTCTGGGCAGCCGCTTCACAACCTGAGCAGAGAGGGGGGCAAGGAAGGGAGCTTCCACCAGGTGGCTTCTCTCCAGGTGTGGAGACGTAGATACCTGTACAAGAGACCAACCAGTTGCCATGTAGTCAACTCTGACTCATTGCCGCCCCAGGTGTGTCAGGATAGAACTGGGCATCATAGGCTCCCGCTGCTTTTAAATTTTATTGTGCTTTAGGTGAAAGTTTACAGCACACATTAGTTTCGCGTTAAAAAATTTATATACAAATTGTTTTGTGACGTTGCTTGCAATCCCAGCAATGTGTCAGCACTCTCCCCGTTTCGACTCGGGGGTCACCGAGTCCATTCTTCAAACTTTCCTGTCCCTGCCACGTGTTGCCCGGTTGGTCCTGTATACTTGACTGAACTAAGCAGCATATAGGCCTGTCTGATCTTTGGCTGAAAGGTAGACTTCGGGGGTGGCTTCACTTCTGAGTTAGCAGGGTATTCGGGGGCCATAGTCTCGGGGGTTCCTCCAGTCTCTGTCAGACCAGTAAGTCTGGTCTTTTTTTGTGAATTTGAATTTCATTCTGCATTTTTCTCCAGCTCTGTCCAGAACCATCTGTTGCGATCCCTGTCAGAGCAGTCGGTGGCAGTAGCCTGGCACCATCTAGTTCTTCTGGGCTCAGGCTGGTGGAGGCTGTGGTTCACGTGGTCCATTAGTCTTTTGGACTCATATTTTCCTTGGGTCTTTGGTTTTCTTCATTCTCCTTTGCTCAGACAGGATAGGACCAATAGATGTATCTTAGATGGCCGCTCACAAGCTTTTAAAACCTCAGACTCTAGTCACCAAAGTAGGATGTAGAAAATTTTCTTTATAAACTATGTTACACCAATTAACATAGACGTCCCCCGAGACCGCCCCTTTTTTTATTGTAGTGAAAATATATAAAGCAAAACATACACCATCTCAACAGTTTTTACACGTCCAGCTCAGTGATATTGGTTACGTTCATCATGTTGTACAAACTGGCACCACTACATGTTTCCAGTCTTCCACCACCAACAGAAACTCGGTGCCCCCTGGGCAATCACTCCCCTCACCCCTGGTAACCACTAATAACTTTGGATTTCTGTATATTTGCTCATTTCGTGTAAGTGAGAGCATTCAGTATTTGTCCTTCTGCAACTGCCTCATGCAGCTCAGCAGGTTTCCAGGGTTCAGCCACGTTGTGGCATGCATCAGGATTTCACTTCACTTTAAAAAAAAACCAAACCCACTGCCGCCAAGTCAATTCCAAGTCATAGTGACCCTATGGGACAGAGTAGAACTGTCCCACAGGGTTTCCAAGGCTGTAAATCTCTAAGAAGCAGACTGCTACATCTTTCTCCTGCAGAGCTGATGGTGCGTTCTAACTGCCAGCCGTTTTTGGTTAGCGGCTCTACCCACTGCACGGTGACATTCCGTTGTACGGATGTCCTGTGTTTTGTTTATCCATTGTCTGCTGATGGACACCTGGCTTGTAGCCACTTTTTGGCTGTTGTGAACAATGCAATGAAAACTCGAGTCCAAGTTTTTATGTGGACATGTGTTTTTATTTCTTTTGGATGGATCCCAGGAGTGGAACTGCTGGGTCAGATAGTGACTCTTTCTGAGGAACTGTCTGTGTTCCACAGCAGCTGCACCATTTTACATTCCCACCAGCATCTTCGGAGGGTTCCAATTCCTCCACACCCGCCAGCACGTGCCTTTTATCTTTGTGATGTCAGCCCTCCTCGAGAACGTCAGCTGGAGTCTCACTGGGTGGAGACTTGAGTTTCTCTGGTGGATACTGATGCTGAGTGTCTTTCTCACCTGCTTACTGGCTCTTTGAGTATCTTTGGAGAAATGTTTATTCAGACCCTTATCCATTTTTTAATTAAAGTATTTCTCCTTCTTGTTGAGCTGTTCACCCCATTATGGTGCGGGAGCAGCCCAAGCACTGGGGGTGGGGTGTCGTCTCCTTGGCAACCCCAAGGCTGTCCTGGGTGGTGGGTGCATGTCTAAATCACCTCTCCCGCCCCCTCGCTGGCCAGGAGTCTCAGAGGCAGGGGCTGCAGCAGAAGCTTACGGACGAGCAGTTTGCGGTGCTCCAGGGTGCAGCGGCTGAAGCCGAAAACATTCTGCGGGATGCCGTGGGCAAGCTGGATGACCCCCTGCACCTGCGGTGCACTAGCTCCCCAGGTAGGGCCAGCCGCGGGGCGTAGGGGAGGGCCTGCTTAGCCCCCACACCACAGCCCATCTGCACCAGGTTCCTGCCCCTCACTGGCCCTCTCGTGTTTGCAGACTACCTGGTGAGCCGAGCCCAGGCTGCCCTGGACACCGTGAGCGCCCTGGAGAACGGCCACGCTCAGTACCTGGCCTCCATGTCGGGTAAGTGCAGGGGGGCCAGCAGGCCCCCACCTGTTCAGAGTGGGGAACGGGCTGGGCAGGGCCGTGTCCCGGATCCAGCAACTGCTGCCTGTAAGGGAGGTTTTCCTGTGTCTTAGTCTTCTAGCACTACTGTAACAGAACTGCCCACTTGTATTTCACATGAACAGAAATTTATTTTCTCACAGCTTTGTTGCTGGGTGCCATCGAGTCAGTTCCGACTCACTGACCCTATGCAGAACACAAGAAAACACCGCCCGGTCCTGCGCCATCCTCACAATTGTTGTTATGCTTGAGCCCATTGTTGCAGCCACTGTGTCAGTCCATCTCATTGAGGGTCTTCCTCTTTTTTGCTGACCCTCTGCTTTACCAAGCATGATGTCCTTCTCCAGGGACTGGTCCCTCCTGATAACATGTCCAAAGTATGTGAGACGAAGTCTCGCCATCCTTGCTTCCAAGGAGCATCTGGCTGTACTTCTTCCAAGACACATTTGTATGTTCTGGCAGTCCATGGCATATTCAGTATTCTTTGCCAACGCCATAATTCAAAAGCGTCAATTCTTCTTCGGTCTTCCTTATTCATTGTCCAGCTTTCGCATGCATATGAGGCGACTGAAAACACCATGGCTTGAGTCAGGTGCACATTAGTTCTCAGGTGACATCTTTGCTTTTCAACACTTTAACGAGGTCTTTGGTAGTAGATTTTCACAATGCAATACATTAATTTCTTAACTGCTGCTTCTATGGGCATTGATTGAAATTGTCAAGGATTTCATTTTGCTTGGATCCACAGTCGTTATTTATTATGATGTTGCTCACTGGTCCAGTGTGAGGATTTTTGTTTCATGTTCAGGTGTAATCCACACTGAAGGCTGTGGTCTTTGATCTTCATCAGTAAGTGCTTCAAGTCCCCTTTACTTTCGGCAAGCAAAGTTGTGTCATCTGCATGTCGCAGGTTGTTAATGAGTCTTCCTCCAGTCCTGATGCCCCATTCTTCTTCATATAGTCCAGCTTCTTGGGTTATTTGCTCAGCATACAGACTGAATAGGTATGGTGAAAAGATACAGCCCTGACACACACTTTGCTTGACTTTAAACCATGCAGTATCCCTTGTTCTGTTCGAATGACTGCCTCTTGGTCTAAGTACAGGTTCCCCATGAGGACAATTAAGTGTACCGGAATTTCCATTCTTTGAAATGTTATCCATAATTTGTTATGATCCACACAGTCGAATGCCTTTGCATAGTCAATAAAAGAGAGGTAAACATCTTTCTGGTATTCTCTGATTTCAGCCATCATCCACCTGACATCAGCAATGATATTCCTCGTTCCATGTCCTCTTCTGAATCCAGCTTGAATTTTTGGCAGCTATAATCTTCAGCAGGATTTTACTTGTGCATGATATTAATAATATTGTTCGATAATTTCTGCATTCTGTTGGATCACCTTTCTTTGGAATGGGTACAAATATGGATGTCTTTCAGTTGGTTGGCCAGGTAGCTGTCTTCCAAATTTCGTGGAATAGATGAGTGAACACTTCCAGCACTGTATCCGTTTGTTGAAACATCTCAGTTGGTATTCAGCCAATTCCTGGAGCCTTGTTTTTCGACAATGCTGTCAGTGTCACTTGGACTGCTTCCTTTGGTACCGTGGGTTCTTGATCATAGGCTACCTCCTGAAATGGTTAAACACAGACCAATTCTTTTTGGTACAGGGACTCTGTGTATTCCTTCCATCTTCTTTTGATGATTCCTGTGTTGTTTAATATTTTCTCCATAAAAACCTTCAGTATTGCAACTCGGGGCTTGAATTTTTTTTCAAGTTCTTTCAGCGTGTTCTTCCCTTTTGGTTTTCTATCTCCAGGTCTTTACAGAATTCATTATAATACTTTGTCTTCTCGAGCCGCCCTTTGAAATTTTCTGTTCAGCTCTCTTCGTTTTTTCCTTTTGCTTCAGCTACTCTATGTTCAAGAGCAAGTTTCAGAGTCTCTTCTGGCATCCATTCTGGTCTTTTCTTTCTTTCCTACCTTTTTAATGACCTCTTCCTTTCTTCGTATATGATGATGTCCTTGATGTCATTCCACAACTCGGCTGGTGTTCAGTGCATCAAATCTCTTCTTGAGATGCTCTCTAAATCCAGGTGGGATATATTCAAGGTTGTACTTTGGCTCTCGTGGACTTGTTCTGATTTTCTTCAACTTCAGCTTTAACTTACCTATGAGCAGTTGATGGTCTGTTCTGCAATCAGCCCCTGGCCTTGTTCTAACTGATGATGTCAAGCTATTCCATCTGGAAAGGTCCGTGTAGACGGTCTCCATTTATGTTGTTGAAAAAAGGTATTTGCAGTGAAGAAATCATTGGTCTTGCAGAATTCTATTGTGCAATCTCCAATGTCGTTTCTATCACCAAGGCCGTATTTCCAACTACCAATCTTTCTCTGTTTCCAACTTTCGCATTCCAGTCACCAGTAATTATCAATGCATCTTGACTGCATGTCTGATCAATTTCAGACTTCAATTCATCTTTGGCCTTAGTGATTGTTGCATAAATTCGAATAACAGTTGTATTAAGTGGTCTTCCTTGTAGGTGTACGGACATTATCCTATCACTGACGACAATGTTCTTCAGGAAAGATCTTGAAATGTTCTTTTTGACAACATGATGCCATTCCTCTTGGATGTGTCATTCCCGGCATAGTAGACCATATGATGGTCTGGTTTAAAATGGCCAACACCAGTCCATTTCAGCTAATGCCTAGACAGTGATCTTTACACATTCCATTTCATTTTTGATGACTTCTAGTTTTCCTAGAGTCATACTTCATACTTTCTACATTCTACATTATGATTATTAATGGATGTTTGCAGCTGTTTCTTGTCATTTTGACTTGTGCCACATCAGCAGACGAAGGTCCTGAAAGCTTGACTCCATCCACATCATTAAGGTCAGCTCTGCTTTGAGGAGGCAGCTCTTCCCCAGTCGTATTTTGAGCGCCTTCCCACCTGGGGGGCTCATCTTCCGGCACTATGTCAGACAGTGTTCCACTGCTGTTCGTAAGGTTTTCACTGGCCAGTTTTTTCAGAAGTAGACCGCCAGGTCCTTCTTCCTTGTCTGTCTTACTCCGGAAGTCTGGGGAAACCTGCCCACCAAGGATGACCCTGCTGGGATTTGAAATACTGGTGGCAAAGCTTCCAGCATCACAGCAACATGCAGGCCACCACAGTACAACAAGCTGGCAGACACGTGGTGGTCTCCCAGCTTAGGAGGCTACAAGTCTGAATTCATGGGGCCAGCTCTACAGGAAAGCGCTCTCTCTCCCCCATCTGTGCTTGCTTCTCTGGGCCTAATCTGTTCTCTTTGTATCTCAGAAGGTATTGGTTTAAGACACACACTACACACTGCCTGACCTCATTAACAGAACCCTATTCTGAAATGGGATCACATGTACAGGTGTAAGGGTTACGATTTACAACATATTTTCTTGGGGACACAATTCAGTCTGTAACACCTGGATAATGGGCACCTCCTATTCAAGAAACTGACCAGGTACCCCCTCACCTCCCCGCTCCCCAAACCAGCTGTACCCGTGGGACTGTCACTGCCCAGGTGTCTGTGGGGAGCCAGGGCCTGGGGGCCGACAGACCCAGTGTGAGTCCTGCTTGTCCCCCTTGGGCTCTGTGACTGGGGCAGGTCTTCTCTGCCCAGGTTTCCCTTCCTCATCCTCAGTATGGAGGGTGTCAGAGCCCAGGCCTTGGGGCTGCAGGGAGAGTCAGTAAGACCAGCTACTTGGACAGCTCCACCAGGAAGTGGTAGATGGTGCCACGGCAGGGTTGTGCGGCTTCCTGCTCGCTGATCTCTGCTCTGTCTGCCTGCAGATGCCTCTGCCCTGGTGGCAGCCCTGACCCGGTTCTCCCACCTGGCCGCGGACACCATCATCAATGGCAGTGCCACCGCACACCTGGCACCCACCGACCACGCTGACCGTAAGTGTCCCAGACAGAGGCATCCAGCCACCCTGCCTGTCTCACACCAGGCCTCCTCAGTGGACTGTGAGCTGGGGGCGTGCATGCAGGCCTTCTTCTGAGACATTCCTGCTCACAGCCCTCTCCCCGCAGGCCTGATGGACACCTGTAGGGAGTGCGGGGCCTGCAGCCTGGAGCTGGTGAGGCAGCTGCAGGACCGGCAGGCTCTGCTGCAGGCCCAGCCTGGCCTGGTGCGGATGCCCCTGCAGGGTATCCTTCAGCTGGGTCAGGTGAGTACAGCCACTGCTGGGAGCACTGGCAGAGGGGACAAGGGGCGAGACACAGGGACTGAGCACCCTGCCCCCTCCCCCAGGAGCTGAAGCCCAAGAGCCTGGATGTGCGTCAGGAGGAGCTTGGGGCCATGGTCGACAAGGAAATGGCAGCCACATCAGCGGCCATCGAAGACGCTGTGCGGAAGATCGAGGTGAGGGCCTGGGTGCGGGGACTGGACCCATTTCTGCATTTGGCCTCTGGGCAAAGGCCAGACAGCGTTTTCCAGAGCCTTCTCCAAATCAGAAATGATAGGCAGGGAGGTAGCCCCTGGTATCCCCACCCTGACCCAGGACCACAGGTTGTGGGCCTAGGGCCGTGTGGTCTTTCCTCCTTGGCTCAGTGGCCGCTCTGGGGGGCTGGTTAAGCGCTGGGGTCCCCCTCCCAGCCCTGCTCATGGGTCCACTGTTGGGTCTAGGACATGATGAACCAGGCCCGGCACGCAAGCTCTGGGGTGAAGCTGGAAGTGAACGAGAGGTGAGACCCACTATCCCCACCCTCTACATGAGGTGGCTGCCCGATGGCCTCCCACTGGCTGCTGAACTCTCCAAAAAGGGGGTGCAGCTGAGCAGAGCATACCTCCCCACAAGGTGGGGTGGGGTCCACACTGAGGCACTGTTGTGGCTTCCTCTGTGAGCCAGCTGGGGGGTCGGCCCCTTCTCTCCCCTCTCACTTCCTCCTGCTCCTTCCCAGGATCCTCAAGTCCTGCACAGGCCTGATGAAGGTGAGTGGCTGAGCAGTGGGCCCCGTGCCCGGCGGGCCGCCCTAAGGGTGATGCCTGATGGGAATGTGCGTGTTGGTCTTTGTAGGCCATCCGGCTCCTGGTGATGACGTCCACCAGCCTGCAGGAGGAGATCGTGGAAAGTGGCAGGGTGAGTGGTGGGCAGGCAAGGGCCTCACAGGCCACACCCCATCCTGGGGCTTGGGCAGGAGACACGGAAATGTATGTGATGAGACCCCCACTCCCCCGATATACACACAACGTGCCTCAGAATCTCAGCCTAACTCCTCCAGCCCACCCGCTCCCACAATGCCCAGGGGGCTTCAGGAACCCAGCCCTTGTGGCTTGGAGAGGGGACCCATGTCCACCTGGGGTCCTTGAGCCACTCCGCCCGCCCTGTCCTTCTGTTACCACTAGGGGGCAGCCACGCAGCAGGAATTTTACGCCAAGAATTCCCGGTGGACTGAAGGCCTCATCTCTGCCTCCAAGGCAGTGGGCTGGGGGGCCACGCAGCTGGTGTAAGTCCCCCGGGTGTGGGGGTGGGTGCTGCGAAGTCTGGAGTGCGGGTTGCCTGCTATGTGTGGGCTGGAGGCCCCGGCCTGACAGCCCCTGCTGCCCTGCAGGGAGTCGGCTGACAGGGTGGTCCTCCACACTGGCAAGTACGAGGAGCTCATCGTCTGCTCCCACGAGATCGCAGCCAGCACTGCCCAGCTGGTGGCTGCCTCCAAGGTAAGCAGACTCTGGGCTCCATCACGCCGGGCCTCGGCATTCTCCACTCGGCTGTCCCAGGCCGGAGACCCCTGGGACAGTGGGCAGGCCCCCTGACCAGCCCCCTCCTGGCCCTCCCCAGGTGAAGGCCGACAAGCACAGCCACCACCTTAGTCGCCTGCAGGAGTGCTCCCGCACAGTCAACGAGATGGCTGCCAACGTGGTGGCCTCCACCAAGTCAGGCCAGGAGCAAATCGAAGACAGAGGCAAGTGGCCAAGGCCCCAGTGGCGTCCGGTGGGGGCCGCCTGTCGGGGCCACAGCCCAGACACTCACCCTGTCCTCTTTTCTTTGTGGCCACAGACACCATGGACTTCTCAGGCCTGTCCCTCATCAAGCTGAAGAAGCAGGAGATGGAGTCCCAGGTAGGTGCCCCTCTGGGGGACTGGGCGCTGAGAGGGGCATCTGGGCAGAGGGCCGGGGCTGTGCTGAGCAGGCGTGCTGGCTGCAGGTGCGCGTGCTGGAGCTGGAGAAGACCCTGGAGGTGGAGCGCGTACGCCTGGGGGAGCTGAGGAAGCAGCACTATGTGCTGGCCGGCGCGGTGGGCACGCCTGGAGAGGGGGAGCCCGGCCGGCCCAGCCCTGTCCCCCGCAGCGGGGCCCCCGAGAAGCCGCCCCTGGCCCACAAGCCCACTGTGGGTCCCAGGCAGGACCACCAGGTACCGGCGGCAGTGCTGGGCGGGAGAGGGGCCCATGAGAGGGGGGCGCACAGGCTAGCCTGGCCCCACTGAGCTCCCCCTTCAACCTCTGCAGCTGGACAAAAAGGACAGCGTCTACACAGCTCAGCTCGTGAACTACTAGGCACCCGGGCCACAGCAGGGAGGCTGGTGGCAGCCTTGCGCTCACGTGGCTCCCCTGAGCTGGCGCAGGCCTCTGAGGGCACGGGCTCCCGCAGGTGGCAGCAGCCCATGCCCAAGGAGCGGGCAGGACTGCGCAGTCAGCCCCGGGCTGTGTCTCTTTATCTGCAATAGGAAGCTTCAGAGCAGCGGGCCCACCGGCCCGAGCACTAACTCTTCAGGAAACACATGAGCGTTGTTCATGTTCAGAGCTGCTCTCTTCTTTATAAGTTTCTACTCTGCACACTGGGAAACAGGGCCATTTGGGGACAATGGGGTGAGGACCTCCTGTCTGGACTCAAGGTCCAACCAACATCACCTCTCTTTGTGGCCTTCTTGGGGCACTGAATCCACGGGCCCCCTGGCTGGCTGAGATGCTCTTGGGTGGGGTGGGGGGCGTCAGAGGAGCAGGGGGGATGTGAGAGCGTGTGTGACATGGAGATGTGTCAGAGTGTGTATGAATGAGTGTGTGTGTGGGACAGGTGTATGTCAGTAGAGAACGTGTATGAATGAGTGTGAGTGTGACAGAGCGTACAGACGAGACAGTATGTTACAGAAGAGGCCGAACTAATGTGGGAGGGGACTGGCGTGGCCTCTGAAGCCTCCCGCCGGCGTGGGGCAGGTCTCTGGGCATAGGGACAGCCTTTGCATCTGGGGTTTCCAGTGTTCATGCCCAAATAAGGCTGCCCCCGGGGGCCCATGAAGGCAGCTTCTGGTCAGCCAGCTTCCTATACCTCCCACCTTACAGAGCTCTCTCCAGCCCTCCTAAAGGGGGAACTTGGCCCCTCTGGCAGATCAGGGTGCCTGGTGCTGACAGGAAGCGCTGTCTGGGTCTCTCTGTCTCTCTGAAGGGGTGGCCTGGCCCCATCTGAGCCGGCAGACTGGGCCCATTTGCATTCCTGCAGGGGGGTCAGAGGTGAGGGGAGGAAGGGCTACCCCCAGCGCCCTCAGCCCTGTGCTGGCTCTGACACCGCTGAGGTGTGGAGATGCACAAGAGGGCCTGCTCTTTGACTTGGTGTGTAGCATTTCCTTTTGTTGAGGTGGCAGACTGGCAATAAAACTCTTGACTGTTGTAACCACTGCCCCCTGCTCTTCATTTCTCCCTGTCAGGCCCTGGCCGGGACCACTTCAGCTAAGTTTCTTCAAATAACAACAGAGCACTCGGGCCACAGAAAAAGGTGTTAATGCTGCTTCTGGTTCTGCCAAAAGTGTCTCTGCCTTTTTCTCTGGAAGATTTCTGTAACTTCAAGCCCTGAGACTGTCTGCCTGTTTACAGTGACCCCTTCCTTTCAGGTAGGAGGCTGGTAGTCAGAAACTTAGGCTTTTCTCACCATCTGAAAGCTTCCCTCTGAGGCCACCTGTGTGCCCAACCTGGATCCCAAATGGCCAGGTGGGGCCCCACCACACCTCCCAAAGCCCCTGGCTTTCGGACAGCTGAAACCAGGCCTCTTTAGGAAAGATTGACTGCACGGCCACACACAGCCTTCTTATTTATTAAACCACAAATGAGTTCCAACTCATGGTGACCCAGTGGGTGTCACAGTAGAACTGTGCTCTATAGGGTTTTCAATGGCTGGTATTGCAGAAGTACATCACCAAGCCTTTATCCTGAGGAGCCTTTTGGTTAGAGTTAACCATTGCACCACCCGTGGACTCCTCATACGTATTAAGAGGACTTAAGCATCCAGAATTCTGGGACTGCGACAGCATGAGCATTGTCTAGGATCCCAACTGTCCCACACCAAAAAACACAAAGACATCTGTGTCCTCTGGACTCTGACAGAGGACAAGAGTGAGGAGCTACAGATGGAACCAAGTTAGAGAGCCTCATACACTGCTGAAGGTATGGACTAAAATGGAGTTATAACAGAGAGGGAGCAGTAAGTTATACGTAGAAAGCTTTTGTATGTTGCTGAGGTTTGGAGCCCTGGTGGCACAGTGGTTAAGAGCTTGGCTGCTAACCAGAAGGTCAGCAGTTCAAATCCACCAGCCGATCCTTAGAAACCCTGTGAGCCGATCCTTAGAAACCCTGTGGGGAGTTCTACTCTGTCCTGTAGGGTCGCTGTGAATCGGAACCAACTTGACAGCACCTGACGACAACAAGGTTAAGTTGCTATCATCAATTTAATCCAGGTTGTTACGGTGTTAAATGTTCCATTCATGGTAACCACAAAGACACACACGTGAGAAGGAAATCAGAACGGTTCACTACAAAAGCAGCAAAACACAAAAGCTGGCACTATAAGGGACAAAGAGGAAATAGGGACAAAAAAGGTACAAGACACAACAAAATGGCAGAAGTGCTTATCAGTAACTACACTGAGTATAAATTAACTACATGATCCAATCAAAAGAGACTGCATTAAGAAGCATGATCTAACTATATGCTATCTACAAAGACACATCTGAGGCCCAAGGACACAAATAGGTTGAAAGTAAAAGGATGGAAAAATATATTCCACGCAAATAGTAACCAAAAAAGAACTGGAGTGGTGATTTTAAAATCAAACAAAATAGACTTTAAGTCAAAATCTGTTATAAGAGACAAAGACATTATATAATGATTCATCAAAAAGATACAATTGTATCACCTAAAATCAGAGTCTCAAAGTACATAAACACTGATAAAATTTAAGGGAGAAATAGACAGCTCTAAAATAACAGGTGGAGACATCAATACACCACTTTCAATAATGGACAGCACATCTAGAAAGACAGTAAGTACATAAAGGACCCGAACAATATTATAAACCAGGGCTTCAGAATAGTTCTTCCCAGTTTAATCACACCCTAGGTAGCAACACCAGAACTAACCCAAATTTTTAAAATCTGGGTGAACTGGAACCATAACCAGAATGGGAAAAATTACGAGTCAAAGCCCTGCTAGAAAATTCATCTCAGAAAACAAGGGCAGCGTACACATTGCATGGCAACCACACCTCCAGCCTATCGGATTTTGCACAATTGGAAACGGTGCCCTGCTCAAAGATGGCATCCAACAACGCCGCTTTCAATGTGCGTCTCTCTCCTCAGTCCTGGCAACAGTCCAGCCTCCCACATCAGGCTGAAAGGGCTCATTACACCTCTTTTAAGTCTCCCATTCCAGGGCTTCAACCTGTAATTTTTCCCGTTCCAGTTAAGGGTCTGGATCACCCAAATTTTAAAAACTACGGTCTGTTCCAGTTTCGCTTCACTGGCCATGACTGAACCAGTTCAAAGCCCTGCTAAAAACCAATTAGACTGAACAGACATACAGAGAACACTCAACAGCCATATAATGCTTCCCCAGTGCACGTGGATCATTCTCCAGGACAGAGACCACACATTAGGTCACAAAGCAAGTCTCAATAAATTTAAAAAGGTTGGAACCATACAAGGTATTTTCTCTGACCATAATGGACTGAAAATATAAATAAAAATGGAAAATACACAAATATATGGAAATCAAACTATTAAACAACCATTGGGTCAAGGAAGAAATCAGAAAAATACTTAAGAATCAAATGAAAATGAAAGCACAACATATCAAAAGCTATAGGACTTGGCAAAAGCCGGGCTCAGAGAGAAATTTATAGCTGTAAATGCCTACATTAAAAAGGAAGAAAGGACACAGAAAATCCCAGAGATCCCACAAGAAAGTTACTGGAACTAACAGAAGGGTTCAGCAAAGTGGCAGGGTACAAGATCAACACACAAAAATCAGCTGGGCTCCTCTACACTAACGAGGAGGACTCTGAAAAGGAAATCAAGAAAATACCATTTACAATCACCCCCCCAAAGGATAAAAGACCTACGAATAAACCTAACCAGGGACATAGAAGACTTATATAAGGAAAGCTACAGAACATTACTGCAAGAAACCAAAAAAGACCTACAGAAATGGAAAAAACATACCATGCTCATGATTTGGAAGACTTAACACTATGAAAATGTCAATAGTACCCAAAGCGATCTACAGATACAATGCAATCCCAATCCAAATCCCAACAGCATTCTTTAACAAAATGGAAAAACTAATCTCTAACTTTCTATGGAAAGGCAAGAGGTCCCAAATGGCTAAAGCATTATCGAAAAAGAACAAAGTAGGAGGCCTTGTATTTCCTGATCTCGGAACTTACTATACAGCCACGGTAGTCAACACAGCCTGATACTGGAACAACGTCAGACACCCAGACCGATGGAACAGAACTGAGAATCCAGAAGTAAATCCATCCAGCTATGGACAGCTGATCTTCGACAAAATGCTTAAGTCATTCAATGGAGAAGACACCGTCTCTTTAACAAATGGTGTTGGTAAAAATGGATATCCATTTGCACAAAAATGAAACAGAATCCATACCTCATACCATACACAAAATAGATCAAAGACCTAAATGTTAAACCTAAAATTATAAAGTTCCTGGAAGATAATATAGGGACAAAGCTAGGGGTTCTAATTTATGGCATAAACATACTATTAAACATAACTGAAAATGCACAAACCGGACAACCTAGGTCACTGGGGCCTCCTAATACTTAAATACTTAATGTTCATCAAAAGCCTTTACCAAAAAAGTAAAAAGAGAACCTACCGACTGAGAAAAAAAAATTGGCAACAACATAATTGACCAAGGTCTAATCTCTAAAATATACAGAAAACTTCAACAACTCCACAACAAAAAGACAAACAATCCAATCAAAAAAATGGGCAAAGGACATCAACAGACACTTGAGGCAGCTAACAAAGACATAAAGACATGCTCGTGATCATTAGCTGTTAGAGAGATGCAAATCAAAACTACAGTGAGATACCATCTCACCGTGGCAATAATGCTACTGATAAAAAAAAACAAACAGAAAACAACAAATGCTGGCGAGCTTGTGGAAAGACTGAAACTCTCATACACTGCTGGTGGGACTGTAAAATGATACAACCACTGTGGAAAAATGGTATGGCACTTACTCAAAAAGCTAGACAGAGAAATACCATATGATCCAGCAAATCCACTCCCAGGTTTATATCCTAGAGAAATAACAGCAGTGACACAAACAGGACACCTATGTTCACTGCAGGATTATTCACAATAGCAAAAACCTAAATGTCCATCAACAGATGGATCAATAAACAAAATGTGGTACATACATACGATGGAATACAATGCAATGATAAAGAATGATGATGAGTCTGTAAAACATCTTACAGCATGGATGAATCTGGAGGACAATATGCTGAGTGGAATAAGTCAATCACGAAAGGACAAATATTGTATGATATACCACTTTTATAAAAAGTCAGGAATAGGTTTACACACAGCAACATTCTTTGATGGTTACCAGGGATGGCAAGAGGAGGGAGGAAGAATCACTTATAGATAGTAGACGTGTTAATTCTGGTGAAGGGAAAGGCAATATACAATATGGGGAAGTCAGCACAACATGGCCAAGGTAAATGACGACACGGAGAGGTACACAAGAATAAAGGACAACCACAGTAAATGCTATAACATACAATTCTGCAACAACAGTAATGCCAACCAAAAATTTGTGATTCGTTACATAGGTAGATATGTATGCTATACAGGTGTGAGAGGCCTGTGCACATATAGGTATAGTTGTGGGCATTTGTATATGCTGCATATATATTCATATATACAATCAAGCACATAGGGGGCACAGTTATGGAAACTTCTTAGACATATCCAAACACCTCATGCGACTGAGATACTGAGCCTGAAGACTAAGAACCAGTCTCGGGACATGTCAATCGGCATAACATAGTTCATAAAGATACTGTTCTACATCCTAGTTTGGTGAGCAGCACTTGGGGTCTTAGAAGCTTGATGAGCATCCATCTAAGACACAACTATTGGTTTCCTCCTGTCTGGAGCAAAGGAGAGTGAAGGAAACCAAAGAATCAAGGAAGCAATTAGTCCACAGGACTAATGGCCCACACAAACCACAGCCTCCTCTAGCCTGACAGCAGAAGAACTAGATGGTGCCCAGCTACCACTACTCATCAGGGATACAACAGAAGGTCTCGATCAGAATGGGAGAAAAACAAAACTCTAATTCATATAGAAGACCAGACTTACTAAACTGATAAGAGACTGGAGGAACGCCCGAGACCATCCCCTAAGACACCCTTTTAACCTGGAACTGACGCCACTCCTGGAGGTCACTTTTCAGCTAAATAACAGATTGGCCTATAAAATAAACAACACCCGTAAGGAATGTGTTCCTTAGAACAATCAACTACATGACACCAAATGGGCAACATTTGCCCAAAAGCAAAGATGAGAAGGCAAAGAGGGACAGGGAAACTGGAGGGATGGAAAGAGAGAAAGCAGGGTGGAAATGGGGAGAGTGCTGACACATTGCAGGGATAGCAACCAATGTTAAGGAACAATTTGTGTATGAATTGTTGAATGGGAAATTAATTTGCTCCGTAAACTTTAAGAAAAAAAGGAAGAAAGATCACAAATCAATAACCTAAGCTTACAACTTGAGAAACCAGAAAAAGTAAACTACCGTATTTTTAAGTTGGTTCTTTGAAAAGATGAAATGGACAAACCTTAGCCAGACTGACAAAGAAAAAAAGAAACAACATGCAAATATCTAAAATCAGAAATGAAAGTGGGGACATTACAACCAACCCTACAGAAATAAAAAGGATCATAAGAGAATAAACAATTGTATGCCAACAAATAATCTAGATGAAATAGACAAATTCCTAGCAACACATAAACTTCCTTCCTACATTGACTAAAGAATAAACAGAAGTGCAAAGCTGTGGTGGGCTATCAGATATGACAACAAAAGTAAGTGCAGCAAAAGACAATACAGATAAATAAGATCTTGTAAAAATTAAATACACATGGGCATCAAAGGACTTTATCAAAAAGTGAAAAGGCAGCCTACAGACTGGGAGAAAATGCTGGGGAACCACATATCAGGGTCTGTCTTAGTTAACTAGTGCTACTATAAAAGAAACACCACAAGTGGATGG